TGTTGGCATTCCTCTTTTGAGCAGGCTTGGCACATTGCATGCCTAGCTTGGCTAGTGCTTGCTCTAACTGTGAAATATAATTAACTGCTGATGGGAATATAAAAAGCATCTGACTTAGAAGCTGCCATTTTTACATCTCAGTCTGTGAACCCAATCCAACTACCTCAATCGTGGCAACATAGCAAAACTAAAACTGCAAAATCGACCTCATTTATAACCAGGACTGCTGCTCCAGGCTGACAAACAGTGATAATGAGGACGCAATACAATCTGTTTGGAGGAATTACTCTGTGAGGATTATGATAACTTTGGCAGCATTGTTCTGCCCTCTTGTTGTGGTGATTGACACCAATTTCATTATTCAAGAGAGAGAGAGGGAAAAGATTAGACCTTGGGTCAGCTAGACTTTGGAATTATTTTGTCTTTTGAGGACCATACCCAGCAATGCTCTGGGACCATGCAGTGTCTTGGTTGGAACCCAGAACTTTCTGCATGCTAACAGATGTGCTCCGTATTTTAAGCCATCCCCCTGCTTCTGAACTTAGCTCAGAGCTGAACTTTAGGCTCAGCTCCACAATTACCCCCCCCTTGAAAAACATCCCATAATTTGTATCTTGGAATTTAAAATATTGTAGTCTAGCTAAGAATAAGAATCAGTTATACCATCTTAGTTTATGAAACTATATTTATTCATAGACTTGAACTACCTTTGAGCAAAGTTCTGAAATGAAAGACTGAAAAAATAAGATTACAGCCTGGCTTTTTTTTTTGTCTTCCCTGTGATCTCTTCTCAAATTGCTTCCTACACACATGTGAGAGGCAGAGGACTGCAGTGAGGCGAGCCAGGCACGGAGCTCGTGTCAGTGCGGGTGCAGATGTGGGAGAATGTGGTGGTGAAGGTGCTTCTGGAAAGCAGATGTCTTGCATTCAGAGCTGCTACTGCAGAGCACCCTGTTGATTCTTAGGCATGAAAATGGAGTGGCCTTTATTTACAGGGAATAAATAGTAGGCCTTTTTTGGGTTCAGGTAAGCAAAGTTTTTAAGCTTTATTTAACTGATGGAAATTGAAAAAGAGATGGACGGCAGCTCTTTGCAATAAGCAGAAAAGGCTTCATGTGAAATAGTCTTCAGAACCCAAGAGATCGCACCAAAGCTGAGGCTCAGGGCAAGAGAGAGAATATTTCAACATTCATTTCAGCATATTTCAGCATATTTTTTTTCAGTTCCTTATTTTAAAATGGGGCTGGAGTGATAGCACAGCGGATAGGGCATTTCCCTTGCATGCAGCCAACATGGCCGGCCTGAGTTCGATTCCTCAGCTCCTCTTGGAGAGCCCTGTAAGCTACCGAGAGTATCTCGCCCGCACGGCAAAGCCTGGCAAGCTACCCGTGATGTATTCGATATGCCAAACACAGTAACAATGAAGTCTCCAATGGAGACGTTACTGGGCCTGCTCGAGAAAATCGATGAACAACGGGAGGACAGTGACAGATTTTAAAATGAGACTTGAAGTCTGCAGGGAGGGTCATAGAAGGCAGAACTATGGGAAGAAAGAAAATGTGTGTACATGTTCATCCCAGTAAAGGTGACACCATTTATTCCTACTCTGTCCGTGATATTCAGAATTAATCTCACCAGGGAAAACAGCTGGTTTGGAATATAGGGATTTTTTTTCTTTAAGCATTGCAGAAGTGTGGAACCGGCCAAATGGTTGGTGTCCAACTACTACCATGTGCTTGCTGGCCCAGTGCTCCTGGGAGACTGGCTTTGGCCAAATGGGAATCTGGTGTGGGGTTGGTGATCAACTTGCACAAGAGCAACCCTTGACTTAGCTCTCAGCAAATGAATTCACTGCCAGAAGATTACAGTTTCCTCATACTAATAAGGTCATTGTCCTCAAACTGCAGGATTTGCGTTCTGCACAGAACAAGAAGCAGGGCCGCTTCTCTGATTATCCCTGGGATCTCCATCCCTTGTTAGCGCTGGAAGACCTGAGATTCCCAGCTTCCCCGGAGGCTTGAGAGTGGGAGAGAAAGTAGGCGTCTCCTCCTGCTCACATTGGGATCTTCACTCTTTGTTTGACTCCTGTGGAACGCCTCAGCTCCCTTTCACAGAACAGCTGTCTGAGTTCTGTGGGTGGCCATCCACTGTTTGCATGCCTTTCCACACACACTGTGTCCCAGCCACTCAGGGAGGGGCCAGGAACCTGCCGTTTCACGAAACCTCCTAAGTTCTCAGAACCTGACTCTCTTTCCTGTGTTCATCAACTCTGGAAGACAGAACACTGAACCAGCCCGTGGGCTTTCCTCTGGTGACATTAATTCAGACCAAGGCAGCAGACATCTCTGACGTTGGCAAATTAAAGAATGTGTTTCACAGAATTCGAGTTATAGAACCATTCATGCTCTTGTCATTTGGGTCAGGATCCAGAGAAGTGTACTGAGATGGGAATTTGAAAGTAGGATCGTGCTGAGTACCAGTTTTATGGAAGATGCCGAGCAATGGAAGAGCATCAGCTATGTGCCCAGGGTCTATAAGGGATGCAAAATCTTAATCTGTATGGTTTCTGTTTAGTAAGACTGATGAGAAGGAAAATATTCACATGAATGAGTAGAAGTATCCTGCCTTTAGGAATCCAAGGATGGCCCTGTGAGGAATGAGGAGAGAGAAAGAGACAGACAGACAGACAGACAGACAGACAGACAGACAGACAGACAGACAGGCTAGGGACTGGGGACCAGGGAGAATGCTCAGAGGGCTGGAGCTTGGCATAAGGAGCCTCAAGTTTCTGACTTCTGTCACCACATGGTACTCTGAGCACCTCTGAGAGTGACCCAGAAAAGGTTTTCCTGTTTTAGAAGGGGCAAAAAAGAAGGGGGGTGGGCCGCACACGTGCGTAGTCTTCCCCAGGATGTGAAGAGAGTCAGCCACTCTGCCCCGCTGGCCACACTTTGTGGTTTACACTATCGGCCTCTCCTCGCATTCTCGGATCAATAATACACGTCTCAGAGTTATCACCTTTCTCGAGCAAAGCAAAAGTTTCTCCCTTGGAGACATTTCTGGAGAGGGTTGTAGAGAGGATTTTAATAGTGGGCCAGGGTTGAGCTTTCTGAGATAGGGATCTAATTGAGAGGAGTAGACCTTAGTCAAGTGTGTGTGCCTGGGAATTTCATGGCCACTACAGTTTCATGACTCAAGTGACTGGAACAATCCGAATGTTCTTTATTTTGGTTTTCTGTTTGTTTGGTTGTTAGCTTTGGGGCCACTCCTGGCAATGCTCAGGGGTTACTCCTGGCTTTGCACTCAGGAATCACTCCTGACAGTGCTTGGGGGGACCATGTGGGGTGCCGGGGATTGCACTCCGATTTGCCACATGCAAGGCAAGTGCCCTTCCTGTTGTTATCACTCTGACCTTTGAATGTCCTCCCTCCCCGCTCCCTCCCTCCCTCCTTCCCTCCCTCCCTCCCTCCCTCCCTCCCTCCCTCCCTCCCTCCCTCCTTCCCTCCTTCCTTCCTTCCTTCCTTCCTTCCTTCCTTCCTTCCTTCCTTCCTTCTCTCCTTCCTCTCTTTGGAATCTTTCTATTGAATCACCATGAATTACAAATTTACAAATATATCTATGTTTGAGTTTCAGCCATATATTGTTGGAACACCAATCCCTTCACCAGTGCCTAGTACCCTCCACCAGTGTCCCTAGTTTCCCTCAGGCCCCCCTCCCAACCTGCCTCTGTCTTTCTGCTCTCCTATGGTTCTCTTCCATAACTCATCCCCCTTACCCTGCCTCTGTTCCAAGCTTCCTACTGACTCTTCCCAGGATTGTTCCTCTTCCTATGCTGTCATGGCCTCCCACAGGGAACAGCCAACGGGCAAGTTGTAGTGAAAACCTTTTGTTTAAAAAATTGTATTCAAGGTAACCTGGTAACAATAGTGGTAATATTAATCTTTGCTATACAAAGTTACTGCACCACCACCCGTGTGCCAAAGACCCTCTGCTATTGTCTTTGTATCACTTTTCATAATGGCACTAAAGATAAATAGTAAGAATTATTCATGTAGAAGGGTAAGTTGCAGGAGATGTCTGCAAAGGGAATAACAGAAAAAACAGGATGTGAGTTTTCCAAGTATGGTTCCATTTCGAGTAAACTCCGGGTGTTTGAAATTCAGAAGAAATATTTGCTTCGGCTAGTTCTAATGCAACTACATAGAGTGAAACATAGAGCTCACTGAAAACAGTATAATTTAAGAAACTACTAGATTATTAAACGTGTCAGCTGTATATTTTGAGCTGATGACTTGGTAAATTATTTTGGTAACTTGAGTAGCTTGTGGTAACTTTAGAAGTAGCATTAAAAAGTTTTGATGGGTTGGTCAGGGAATGCTCAAAATAGAAATTTCTCAAAGAAAGAGAGAGGGCGAGAGAGAAAGCCAGGGGGAAGAGGAAAGGGAGGGAGGGAGGGAGGAGGGAGGGAGGGAGGTAGGCTGGGGCGGGTGAGAGAGAGGAGGGAGGGAATGGAAGACCATTTACTAGTCTCTGAAAATGACCTTTCTTGCTTCCCGTTACAGTGATCAAGGCTTGAGTTATTAAAAAAAAAATGATTGATAATAAAAGCAACAGCAGACATTCAGTGGAATTCTTACTTGTTAGGACCTAGTCATTTTGGAAGTATGGGTAGATAGATTGATAGAGTAATCATTAGCACTCATTTAGCATTAAACCAACAACATGCAGATTCTTTGCCCTTTTGGGGAGGATCTCATTTAATCTCATTAATAGTACCTAAAAGTTTAGGTACTATTGCCACTAAAAACAAAGTAATTTGCCTAAGATATCATTAATTATTAGGACCCAAACCTAAATCTTCAGTCTTTCTGATCCCCAGCTCTGTGATACAGCTGAACCTACCGCAAGCTAAACTGGAGTGATGCTGACGTTTCTGTTCTAAACCTGGCTAATGTTGGTCATGGCCACGCATTGACCTCTTCTCTTTCTCCTTTTTTCAGTGCGACTTCACGACAGCATATCAGAAGAGGGTTTCCATTACTTGGTGTTTGACTTGTAAGTAAAAACAAATTTTGTATTCCTTGACTTTGGCTATAGATTTAGGGACCGTTTTGAATGAAACATGAAACTTTTTTGTTGCATAGTCCAAACCAATGGCCCTGTACTACACTTAAGCACTCTTTAAATAAGTCACAACTCCCACTCTTTTGAGAAGAGGTGACTGCTCAGCAGTTTTTGTTTAAAATGTTAGCTAAGCTGCACCGGTGAAATGGTCATAAATGTGCATCCTTTAGAATTGGTCACTGTGAGGTTGCAAGCCATTCTTGGTTTAGCCTCGGTTTGTGGGAATGACTGGGCTGTGTATGATTAGTCATTTTTAAAAGTATTTATAATTTATTATTGTATATGAAAAGACTCAAAGTAGGATCTTTGTGGTTGATGAGGTTCAGGAGTTGAACAGCATCTTCATTGCCTTGTTTTCAGTTAATATGTGCAAACTTGATGATGTCTAGTAGTGTCTTGACTTTCTCTTTAGAATGAGAAAATTATTTTTTAAATTTATTTATTGAATCACCATGAGAACAGTTACAAAGCTTTTGTTTTTGAGACTCAGTCATACAATGATCAAATACCCATCCCTTCACCAGTGTACGTTTTCTACCACCATCAACCCCAGTATACCCCCTATCCCACACCCCATCCCTGCCTGTGTGGCAGACAATTTTCACATTACTCTCTCTCTACTTTGATTACATCCAATATTTTGACACCAGTCGAATGAAAAATTCACCCAGTATAAGCTCCTCCCCCACCCCCCCACACACCACTTAATCTCATTGGCCAGGAATGTGTCGTATGTCCAACCCCTAATGCTCACCAACAAGAGGAATGGGACTGGCTTTGACTAATCAATTTTTGTAAACTTAGTTTTGTTTTTTTTCTGCAAGAGCAAAGGGAAAGAATGACTCTTGGGGAACAGTCCTGTAGTATCTGTTCAAGCTGGGAGGGACTTGGTGACACAGACCACACACACATGCTGGTGGGGCTGGTCACCCTATCTAGAAATTAATTTGATGCCACGTGTCAAAAATGTCCATATAATTTGAGATAATTTCATTTCTTGGAACAAAGTTTATGGAAAACATATCCTAAACTCACATCACACTGCGTGATGAAAGATGTTTGCTTCATTGTACAATAGGTTGAAAGGATGGCCAAGTAGGAAAAGAGAGCAAAACAAAGTAGGCACCCAGTATTTACAATACATTCATAAATGGCTAGGAATTTTAGAATTTCAATGTGTTGTTTTAGACATGATAAGAAAAAATATGAGCGTACTATGAGTCTAGGTTAGCTCTGAGTTTTGTTAATTCAGCCCTTTAGCGATATTGCTGAGAAAACAAGCTCATTCCCATTTTTTTTCTGGGTTTTGTGGTCTTTGGATTTGTCCTCATGATCAGGACTTCAAGTTGACTGCCTCATCTTCAGGTATCATAGGTAGAAGAGGAAAGGAGGGTTGTGATTCCATTTCGTCTGTTTCCCCTTATATGAAAAGCCTTCCCCAGATTCTTCCCCGAAATACACATTAACAAAGCCTTGTTTAGAATACATTTGCGTGGCCAAGTCTCAGTTGAGTTTTGATAAAGGGAATAGAATGATCGTTGACTTGGGCTGATCATGAATTTGGTCTCTATCACAGGGAAGTGATCCAGTCTCTTTCCTGAGTCCTTTGTGTACTAAGAATGAACCTGTGGCATTGTTATCTTAAAGATGAGACTCGATCATTGAGTTGCCACCCAGCATGGTGTCAGTATTAGTGACCCATGTAGCTGAGACACGCCGAATCAGCAGCTCTGATTCTGTCCATCCTTCTGCACCGGATCTGTTGTGGTCATGGTTCATCGTGGCTTCCAAGAGGCTGTGGGCTGGCACCATGCCCAGTCTCACTAGCTTTCTCCCCTTCCATTCTCAGATCTCAGACACTTTCACTTTTTCATTCTTCCTCCTTTCACCCAATGTTCCAGGGCTCCTTCTTTATGATTACTATTTTCTGTAAGAACTTTCTTTAGCCATGCTCTTGGAATAGAGAGGCTAGCAAATAATTTCTTAGTTTCTCAACTTTTCTAAGAAAGTTTTATTCTCCCCATTCATGACTGAAGGATATTTTTGTCACATAGATAACCCGACATAGCCCTTTTCAACACCACCAGTGTTATGTCACTTTGGATTCTTTTGTCTTTGATGTGAATTTTTATGCCATTTTAAAAGTTTCTCCCCAAAGGGTAAGGTCTTTTTTTTTTTTCTGACTGCTCTAAAGGTTTTTTTCTTTGTCTGTAGCTTGAATATAGTGTTATTTGGACTTGAATTTCGTAGAGACTGTTTCTTATTTGGTATTCATTTAACTTCTTGATAATACAGATATGTCTTCTGTCAAACTTTTTTTTTTCTGTCAAATTATTGGCATTGTTTCTTAGAATGCTTTTCCAGCCTTGCCTTTTTTCTCCTCTCCTGAAACGCTAATGACATGATCTTAGGTTTTTTTTTTTCCCCCTTCATTAAATGTGCTGGAGTGATAGCATAGCAGTAGGGTGTTTGCCTTGCATGCAGCCTGCCTGGCCGATCCGGGTTCAATTCCTCCGCCCCTCTCGGAGAGTCTGGCAAGCTACTGAGAGTATCTCGCCCCCATGGCAAAGCTTGGCAAGCTACCCGTGACATATTCAATATGCCAAACACAGTAACAACAAGTCTCCCAAGGGAGACATTACTGAGCCCGCTTGAGCAAATTGATGAACAACGGGAAGACAGTGCTACAGTGCTTTTCATTAAATAAGGCCCCTAGGACTCTGTTGGTTTGTTTTTCCAAACAAACTCTGTTGGTTTGTTATTCTGTTTTTCTGTTGTTCAGTGGGAGGGTGGAGAATTCTTCCTCATCCTCTGGGCTCTTGATTGTCTGTAGCACAGAATAATCCACACCCAGCAAGGGTTTCTGTTGTGTTGGCCGTTCTGAGAACGCTCCGTGTCCAGAAGCATTTCAGTGCTAGTGTCTACTTTTCCACTGTCATCAGGCCATTGATATCCACATTTTATTTTTTTTTTGTTTGTTTCTTTTTTGGGTCATACCCAGCGATGCTCAGGGATTCCTCCTGGCTCTGCACTCAGGAATTACTCCTGGCAGTGCTTGGGGGGCCATATGGGATGCTGGGAATCGAACCCAGGTCAGCCGTGTGCAAGGCAAGCACCCTACCCACTGTGCTATCACTCCAGCCCGATATCCACATTTTAAATATTATAAATTCTATATTTCTTACTAAAAGGGAGAGAATGATAAGAATCACGTATTTTAAAGTAAAGTTTTATTTTTCATGTACTTTAAAAAAAATTCAGCACATCATTTGGTAAAGGCCATTTGAAGAAAGAAGTTTATGTGAAAACAAAATATAGTTGTCCACCACAGCAATCTGTCTCTAGCAGTATTGGTCTGTGTTGTAGACATCTCTGAACGCCAAGTGCAGGGGCTGGAGAGTGAATGTTTGCACTTAGTAAATTGAAACGGGCTTTGCCAAGCAGTTGAACTTCTGCTTCTCTCTTGAAGAGCCCAGGGTCTATGCAGTTACTCCTCAGTGTTTAAAGTTTAAGAGCAAATTATTAGCTACACTCATCAGCTTGCTTTGCCCCCAAATGAGAGGAGTAAACTAATTAAACACAATCAGCTTTAGAGATACTTGGAAACAATGGTTAAAAGTACCAGCTTTGCAATGACTGAAAACAGATAATAGGAATTTTAAGGATTGGAGTGCTCTACATTACCTAGCTGTGAAGGCAGTCTGGGAAAGGAATAGAAAGCAGCTTTCAAAAATTACACACATTAAACACAGTTCAAGTATGGCAATAAAGGTATTTATGAAATAACTCATATGGGCAGATTAGAAGTCACTTAGCCAGTCAGTTCCAAGATAAAATAGTGACTTGCATTCCTAAAGAAGGAATGTTCCTTGTATCCGTTCTTTTGAAGATAGTTTTTGGCAGAGGGGTACTCCTGCATGCTTCCTGTGGAATGTCAGCTATTCAGAATCGAATGGGGAGTTCTATTTTTATAGGTGCATTGAGGCTTCTTATGGAATCATCTTCCCTTTCTGAAAATCCCAACAGAAAAGAGGCATGTGTTTGATGGAAACAAATCATTTCTTCTTGCCTTTTAAAATTTATATTTTGTATGCAAGCGTATTTTCTCCGGTCTCATCTACAAAGTATTTGTGAACTCTCTTTTTTTTTTTTTTTTTTAATTTGTGAACTCTCTTGCAAAGACTCGTGAAAGGCCTGCTGAAAGCAAATGCATGTTCACAGGAAATCATGAACACCCTGGTTTGCTGGTTTGCTTTTCAGAATCATCCTTTTCACGGCAGGACCTGGGGGGCATTCAGGTGACCTTCGGGGGAGTTTGAGATGGGGTGTTTCTGAAGGCTGAAGAACAAGACAGTGAAGTCACAGGGCTAGAATTGTCCCAAGGAAGAGGCTGAGGATAGCAGTTGGTTTCAGGCAGAGAAGGCAAATGCCACCAAGTTGTTCTAGTTCTATATGTCCATAACACATGTTGGATGTATATATACATACAATAAACTACAGAACAACCATAGCTTTGTGTGAATGTAAAGAGACTAGCCTTTGGGTTGATTTGTGGAATCAAAATAGGAACCAAAAGGAGATAAGTAAGATGAGAGTTTGTTGGGAATTGTGCCCTGCAGAGTGAAAAGGCTTGATTCTTTTCTCGGAGCTACATGGTGCTTGTACACATGGTCTTTTCTCGAACCTCACTGATTTAATATCCAGTGAGGTGAGGGGAGCAAAAGGAGAAGGTATTAGACATCCCTCAAGACCACCCTGATTCTGAGCTCAGAATGCCATTCCCAAGACCTGAGATTTAATCCCGGAAACTTGAGATTTCTAGAATTTATGGTGTCCTTTTTGATTGTTAAGAAATCTCTTTTGATTCTAAGCTGTTGAAATGCTGCTATTGCATGTTTTTAAAGGGCCTTTTTTCCTCCTGGGAAATGCAT